GGGCGGGAAATGTGGGGGGACCCTTGCTCGTTCTCCTCGGGTCTCAGTGTCCTCCTAGGCAAAAAGAGGACTGGACTCGTGGGTCCTTTCTGGCCCAGAAAGAGCCCGCACCCTGGGAAGGAGCATGGCCACCAGAATTTGGGCTGGTTTGGGCCCGACTTGCTAGGTGGCTGGGTGATGCGGTGCATCCCCACCTGATTGGAATATTGCACCTTTTTAGAGAGGGAGGGGTGAGAAGGCTGTGAACAGAGAGCGAGTGCCAAGGAAGTGGGGGTGGGGGTCGCCAGGACGGAGGTTAGGACCCCCAGCAGGTGGCTGTCCCGCTGGGACCCAGGGAGGGAGAGCAGAGCGTTGGAGACCCGGCCTGGGTGCGACTCTGTTCTTCCACGAGCCACCTGTGTTCGCCAGGTTTCATTCTTCCTGTACAAAATGGACCTCATCCTACTACCTGCCTCAGAGGGTTGCTGAGGCTTCAAATAGATCATGGGGGTCAGGTATTTAAAACGGTGCTACAGGGGTAATATATAAGTGTATTGAATCAGTGTTGTGCACCTTTAACGGATACAAAGTTATATATCGATTGTATTTTAATAACAGCAAAGAGCGCCAGACACCTGATAGGCAGCAGATCACTGCCGTTTCTGCCCATCCCTCTTCACCTTCCCAGCCCTCCTCCTGCAGTCCTGTCCTCTCCCTCCCCCTTCTCTCCCCCTCCCCCCTCCATCTCTCCTTTCTCCCTCTCCCCCCTGCTCCCTCCTCCGCTCCCTCTGGATACAAAATTAGCTCTGGGTAAAAGGAGAAGATGATGTCCCTGCCCTTCCTGTTCCTGCACCTTTGCTCCAGGGCCCCTTCCCCTGCCTGGAAGGCTCCCCGCCCCTTGTTGGGGCCTTCAGCCTTTAGGGTTCAGCCCCAGATCGACTTCCTCCCAGCTCTCCCTGACCTCCCTGGTGTCTGCCAAGTGTCACTCTGTCACCTGCTCTGCCACCAAACAGAGAGACATTGATTTGTTGTTCCATTTATTGATGCATTCATTGGTTTATTCTTGTATGTGCCCTGACTGGGGATTGAACCTGCAACACTGGCCTGTCGGAAGATGCCCTTGTTGACTTTGTATGAGTTACTTAATGTCAGGGAACCCTGGGCCTGCCTCGCTGTGAGTGTGTGAGCGGCCGTTTCCAAGGTGAGAATAAAGGTGGGAGTGATGATGGGGGAGGTTCTTGGCCTCTTTTCACAAAGTGTCAGGAGGAGAATCGGACTGTGGCTGTTTAGCTAATAAACTGTCCTGCTGGCGTCGAGCACGAATTTTACAGGTAAAGCCACAGAGCTTTGATTTGACAGCTCTTCTTTTGCGAGGGAGGCGGCGCCCCGGTCTAGACCATTCGCAGAGCCGCTGTTCTGGGCCCTGGCTGCACACCCGTCCCTGGGGAGCTTCACAAACTGCTGCTGACCAGGCAGCAGCCTGGTCCCACTCCAGAGGCACCGGTCTCGTGGGCCCAGGGTGCGGCCTGGGACCCAGGTGTTCTGACCCATTCTATCTCAGGAATGGGAAGGTGACTGTAACGTGCGGATAACTCCGTGGACCTTCCCGGTGGTTGAGGCACAGAGGTTTGTATCCTGGGATGAACTGGAGTTGGGCTGGAGTGACTGAGGTTTGTTCGAAAGTGGGGGTGAGGATCTCCAGTGTGTTGCGCGGCGTCTGCTCGGTCCCGGAGCCCTTCCGTTGTCATGTCTTACTCCCCCCCCAAACTGTCCCTTCCATTGTCACATCTTACTCCCCCCCCCACCGCCAAACTGTCTTGAGAGTTTAAGACTGTGAGGCTAAGAATGCAGTATTTCCCAGTTTTCAGATTCCTCCGAGATTCCTCTGGTTTGTGCCATCGTTTTTAAATGGGCCCCTTACACAGTGTGTTGTCATTGGTGACATTCCTTCACAGGAATGTGAAGGAATTTTGTACTTGTTAAAAAACGTTTCAGTGATGAAAAGCTAGTCCTCTGTTTTCAGAAAGTATTTATCAATTAATTTGCCGTAGAATTATCTCTTTAATAAGAACCATATGGCTTCACTCATCTGTGGGATGTAAAACCGAAAGCAACAAATGAAGAAACAAGACAAATAAACAAAGACTGACGGACACAGACATCAGTGTGGTGGTTGCCAGAGGGAGGGGTTGGGGGGGGAGACAGCAAAGGAAAGAGAGGCTCAGATACATGGTGAGGAAGGAGGTTTCACTTTGTCCAGCAAACTCGAAATTCGATAACACAAATCATGTGTCATGGGAATCTCCACTGGAAACCTATTAACGTTATTAGTGTAACAGTGTAATCCCAATACATTCAATTCAAAACACTTTTTAAAAAGAGCCACAAGTATTATCTTTGTAATTATTGTAAATGGGTGCCAATTTAAGCCTATCTTTTAGAATGTTACATGTTTTAAAACTATTTTTACTCTGTAGAAAAATGTTGCATGGTATATTTACACTGTTTCTTTTGGGAAAAGCTTTCGTCCTTAAATTGTTGTACCCTGCACCCTGAAGACATTTAAAACGAGTGCAGTAAAGCCTGCAGAAGCCAGCACGAGGGATACTTAAATGTCGATATTGTATTAAAACTCTTCAAGGTCTTCATAAAATGGAGTATCAAGTATACGTGTTCATCTTAGCAATGGTAACAAATTATTTCATCTCAAAAACGTTTTCTTAGCCCTGGCTGCTGTAGCTCAGTGGATTGGGCGTGGACCTGTGAATCAAAAATAAAATGTTTCCTTGAGAAAACTATGGAATAAAAATACAGTTTTTATAATCTCTAAACATGTTTTCTGAGATGAATTACTGCCATTTGCAACAACATGGGTGGATCTTGAGAGTATCATGCTAAGTGCAATGAGTCAGACAGAAGTGGACAAGAACTGTTATGTTTTCACTCATATGTGGGATATAAAGCCGAAAGCAACAAACGAACACACCAAACGCTTACAGACGCAGACACACGTATGGTGGTTACCAGAGGGAGCAGAGGTGGAAGGAGGAAAAGAGGGTGAAGGGGGTCAAGTGTATGGCGACAGAAGGAGACTCGACTCGACTTTGGAGAGTGAATTCACATGTGATGCAGTGTATAGATGGTGTGTTATAAAATTGTACACTTCGTACATATCGTCTGCCAGTGTGATTTAATTTGAACTGCACTGATTCTACCACACTTAATTTTTTATTATTATTTTTATTTTTTAGATTTTATTTATTTCTTTGTAGAGGGAAAGGGAAGGAGAGAGGGAGAGAAACATCAATGTACGGTTGCCTTTCGTGCATCCCCTGCTGGGAACTGGGCTGCAGGGAACCGGCCTGCAACCCAGGCATGTGCCCTGGCTGGGAATCAAACCATGATCCTTTGCTTCACAGGCCTGCACTCAATCCACTGAGCTACGCCAGCCAGGGCTTAATTTGATTTTAAAAGTTTTCTTCAGAAAGCTAGAGATTACAGCCAGTTGTAGAGTCTTAAACTGTTGTTTCACCCAACTGAGGAATTCATCTCAGTCTCTTGTTGGGAAAAATGACTGCCCTGACACATGAATTCGCACGGTGCTATTCGCTCTTCTTTCACTTGCTCCTCACCAGGAAAGTTGTCTAAAAAATAAACTCTTTCTCCCACTCAGAGTCCTGCAGTAGAAGCTTATCGGCTCAGCAGGGATCAGATGCCCATCCCTGGACCAGTCAGTGGCCCCATCAGTGAGCCCTCGGCCCACTGTGCATCAGCACGTTTGTGCGGTGGGCGCAGGTGCCCAGGCCAACCATGAACACCTCTGTTGCGGTGACTAGCAGCAGACCTGCGGCGCTTGTTTTGAGGACTGGCATTGACCTGCTGGAGCACCTTTCTTCCCTGGTGGGAAAGCCTGTGGGTGACTGATTCATGACCGGAATGTTTGGAGTGTAGAGATGTGGAAGATGGGGGCCGGGCCCTGGCAGGTGTAGCTCAGTGGATTGAGCGCCCGCCTGCGAACTGAAAGGATGATGGTTTGATTCCCCGGTCAGGGCACATGTCTGGGTTATGGGCCAGGTCCCCAGTTGGGGGCGTGCAAGAGGCAACCACATGTCGATGTTTCTCTCCCTCTCCCTCCTCTCCCCTCTGTCTAAAAATTAATTAATTAAGTCTTTAAAAAAACAACAACAAAGAAAATGTGAGCTTGTTGGGCTTGAGGCTGGCTGGGTATCTGCTGGGGGCCCCCCAGACTAAACACTCAGGCCCCTAGAACCTGGGCTCTTACTCTGCTCCTGTTCTGGAATCCACTCTGGCTCTTGTCTGTCCATTATGGCTGCACCTGGGGCCTCTCGCGCAGTTCACCAGAACATTTATTCTATGGTAGCGACATTCTTTTTTTTAATAGATATTAACGCCAGACATTTATTGCTCAATAAAATCTTGGGGTCAGCTGTCCAGAGCTGGCATGACAGCTCTAGTGCATGGTGTCGATAATCTAGGCTCCTTCTCTTGTTACTTTGCTGCGTGTGATCTTGGTTCCTAAGTTCTCCTCACAGTACAACATGGCTGCTGGAGCCCCCACAATCACATTCTGTCTTCTAAGCCCAGAAAGAAAGGGATTTTTTAAAAGGAGACCAAGGCCATGTTACAGTAGCTACATTTTCATCTCGATGGTTTGAAATGCCTGGGAAGCTTAGAGAAGAACCTGTGTTATTTTGATGCCATCTTTCAGGTGGATTTCTCTTCTGCCTCTGATACTCTCTTCCAAGATAGGTTGGTGCTTCCTACTTTCAAGGGGTGGTGCTTTTTGACCTCATACCAAATTCTGGGGCTTTCTTGATCACAAGGGTGGTATTTCTGGGTGAAAACAGTTAAGTTTCATATGGCTCATGGCTGATACAACATCACATTGTGAATTATAAACTCAGTGCTTGAATCAGAATGGAGACTTCTGAATTGGAATCTAGTCCATTTTCTCTGCTGCCCAAATGAGTTTTTTTCCATTTCCACTGTTTCTTTCATAGGGGTTCAGCTGTTGCAAAAATAATTGGTAACAATGTCAACAAACTTCAGAAGTTTGCCTCCACGGTCAAGATGTGGGTCTTCGAAGAAACAGTTAATGGGAGGAAACTGACAGACATCATAAATAATGACCATGAAAATGTGAAATATCTCCCTGGACACAAGCTGCCAGAAAACGTGGTAAGATTTGAGGATGAAGAGTATACGTTTGGTTAATTCTGAAAGTTTTGTTCTGCTGAGTCAGCACTTGGCACTTCAGGAAATACAAAGGCTACCCTCTCCTTCCCCTATTCCTTTCATCCTTCATGTTTTTTGCTTGGTCAATTTTGGTTTTCCAGACTCTGAAATGGGCTTTGTTTTAGTTTGCTAGGGCTGCCATAATGAAGTACAATAAACCAGATGGTTTAAACAGCAGAAATTTCTTTGGTCACAATGCTGGAGGCTTCAAGTCCAAGCTCAAGGTGTCAGCAGAGCTGGTTTCTTCCAAAGCTCTCTCTTTGACTTGTAGGTGGCCACCTTCTTCCTGTGTCTTCACATGGTCTTCCCTCTGTGTCGTCCACCTCCTCATCTCCGCTTCTTATGAGGACACCAGTCATGTTGTATTAGGGCCCATCCAAGGACCTCGTTTTAAATAATGACCTCTGTGAAGATCCCATCTCCAAGTACAGTCCTATTCTGAGGTACTTGGATTATATACAAATTGGGGAGAGAATACAGTTTGGCTCATAACAGGTTACTTTCTTGGCATTCAAAGTTCAAGTCACATCAAAACTGGACTACAAAGCTAGGCAACAATGTTGCCTTTGGCCTACCTGTGCCCTGCTAACTCCTGATAACTGTTTCTAAGTACGTGGACTTTGATCCACTCCCTAGGATACAACCCTGGTCTGTAATTAAAGTCAGGGTCAAGGTTGAAATTACAGAAGGAGATCAGAGAAAATAGAAAATTGTGACTGACCACTTAAACAGTTCAGGCTTCTTCCATCTGGGAGGGGAAAATAGAGCCTCGTTCTATTATGTGGCCTCGTTCCAGTGGCTAATGGGGGAAGGAAGAAAGGAGCCTGGGGAACAAAAAGAGTAAGTAAGTACCCTGCTGCTTGTCTGAGTGGAGTTTGTGGTCCTCGGTTGCCAGCTTCGCCCCTTGGTAGCTTTCTGTCGTTGTTTGAAAACCAAGCATGTGGCTGCTTTATTCCTGTGGTTAACCAGAGACACTCATCTCCTTCGGGAGTGAGATTCCCACCACTACGTACATCTGTACACTGACTCACCAAACCTTCCCGAGCAGGGACTGTGCGTGTAGAGCGCAGTGTTGGGATGCTGGAGACAGGAGGTGGGATGGGGTGAGCGCGGTGGGGGGGACAGTCAGCTGGTCAATGCCGGAGCTACAGTGACCTTGCTCACTGAAGATGTTTGTTTGGCTTTTGGTTATAGTGTTTGTTCATAGTGTCAAGCACTATGCTAAAGAGTTTGCATATATTGTCTCATGCCCTCAATGACCTCCTAGGTTTGGTAAAGGACAACATTCAACCAAGTGAACTTGTAGATTGGATTGGCTTTATTAAGCTATTCATGAATTCCACCTGGCAACTAGAAAGGTGCTCAGAGGGATTGTATAAAATGGAAGATTTTTATGGGCAGAAAGAGTGGGACAAGAAAGTGAAAAGAGTGGGTGTTTCAGACATGGTCCCCTTCCCGGCGGGGAAGGCCGGTGGTCTTATCAGGCAGATTACCTCACTAGTGTGGATCAGGAAATTCAGGTCAGAGTGATTGGTTTAAAAAATCCCACTCCCGGGAGAGGCTGAAACTTGCTTTTAGATAAGTTATTAAGGTTTGGTTTGGTGACCTGGCTTAGCAAAAGTGACTCCATTTTGGCTTGCTGTCTCTTTTCTTTCCTTTTTTAACAGGTTGATACTATTAGTTTTCCTATTATGATACTGATTCTGATTTTATAAGGGGAAGAAATCAAGGTCTGGAGAGGTTAATGAACTTGTCCAAGGCCACATAGCCAGAGGCTAGGGTTGGAATTTGATTCCTGGTGAACTCATTTTTGAGCCTGCTGAATCTGCTGCCTTCTAGACAGTGATGATTTTCTCTGTAACATTAAGCTAAGGCCAGGCAGCATTTCCCCATCGTTATTCTTTTCTTTTTTCACTTACAGTTGACATTTAATATTATTTTATATTAGTTTCAGGCCCACAGTTATTCTTCATGCTGTCGATGGGGAGAGAAAAGATCCCTGGGGTTCTGAGTTTGGAAGTGAAGTTGCCCAAATATCTGATGGGAAGCATAAAGGGAGCAGCTAGCTCTCTCCACCGCAGTGTGAGGCCTCCTGTGTGCCCATGAACTGGGACAAGTTCGGGGCATCTGCGGAGCAGGGGAGGGGCCAGCCTCCCCTAAACTGCGTGGTCAAGTGGGGAGGCCTTCTTTCCTGGCGTTTGTGGGCCTAGCCTCACACCGGGGGCTCTCTGGCTAAGGAAGGAGGCGAAGCAGGCGTTGGGCAACAGCAAGCAGTCTCTGCTAAAGGCCACACGCCCCGTGTCCCCACTTGATGCCCTCACCTCTGCCCACGTGTCTCTGTTTCTCTGCCCATGTTAAAATTTCAAACCCATGTTTTTACTCGTCCGAAGGAAAAAATGGCGTCATAAGAGCTGCCAGGTATTGGCTGCATGCCAGGGCCAGACCCCTCTCGGAAGCGTTTATTCCTCACAGCAGCGCACCCAACGCGCCCAGCCAAGGAGAGGTTACCGTGGGGCTCTTTACAGATGTGTGGGCAGAGCTGAGGAACGAAAGGCCTTGGTCAAGCGCCCAGAGGTTAGCAGCAGCAGGAAGCGGAGATCACTCTGAAAGGGCAAAGGGGTGGGCCAGTATCACCAAACCTGCCTGACCAAAACTTAGAGAATGCTGAAGAGGGGCTGCCGGCAGGAGGGGTAAGGGCAGAATGAAGCCGAGCCAGCACACCCGTGAGTCCGGGCGGGCGTGGCCCAGGAGGCTCCCGAGCACCCTGACCTGTGTGTCACCCCACCCGGGATCCCCCTGACGGTGTCCCCCTTTGGCTGAAGCCAGCCGGAAGGCAGAGAGCCAGGGGTGCCCAGAGGAAACAGTCCCTTAACTTAAGCAGCCCCCTGGGGAACAGAGTGGGTCAAAGAAGGGCAGAAAATGGACAGGGAGATTGGGAGAGCAACAGAGAACAACCCACAGAGTATTGCGATGACTCCCTTGTACAGATTAGGAAACGGAGGCCTGCAAAGGGCAGACAGGCTCCTGGTTTCAGATGCAAGTCGTGACCGAGGGAGGCAGCGCACGCCCCACGCTTCCCTTCACTGTCTGCGCGGTGCTCTCTGCCCTCAGCAGGCATCCGATGAAGTGCCAGAGAAGGGGAGCATTTGGATCAGCACGTGTGGTGTAGGAGTTAAGTGTGTTCTTCTCCTCGCCACGCAGGTGGCCGTCCCAAACCTCGGTGAGGCCGTGCAAGATGCAGACCTGCTGGTGTTCGTCATTCCCCACCAGTTCATCCACAGAATCTGTGACGAGATCACCGGGAAGGTGCCCAAGCAAGCGCTGGGCATCACGCTCATCAAGGTGACTCACCCGCCACCGACCAGGGCATGGCTTCCCGGGAAGTTTCACTTCCGCTCACGTTCGTCTGTGGGAGATGAGGAAGCGAAGGGGCGGTTATGGCAGGTTTGGGGGTGATCAAAACCATAAATCCCAGTAGCCTAGCTTAGCTCTAGTGTACAAGGAGACTGCTTTCTGTGGTAGCTGTGGGGGCTGGAGGGCTCCACCTGCTGGGTCCTGCTGTCAGAAGGAACCCCTCCCCCAGCTCGTGGGGCTCAGCTGGCGTTCTGGAACTCGCCAGTGGGTCGTATGAGTTCCCACTCCTGGTATTTTCCCTAAAGAGGAAGTTTTTAACTAGCAGTCCATGACCCAGTCCCAGAGATTCTTAGACAGAAATCAGGAGGCTCGTGGTCTTAAATGTGTGTGGGGGGGTTGCATTTTTGTTCATTTTAACCTCTAACTGAAATGAGCGTTTTCTTCATTTACGAAGGAAGACACAAGCCAGAGCTCAGTAATAGCATATGAGCAGCTCCTGGGACCGTCCAGTCAGTAGAAGTCACAGACACGTTCACGCCACTTCACGGCGGCTTCTGATATCTCAAGTGTCATTTATGCTCATCACTCCTGTGAAGTTAGGATAATTATTCGATCTGCTGTGACATCTTTTTCTAATTGCATTAATAAAACAGCACATATATTACTTTATCAAATTTAGGGGTTTTGTTTTTTTTTTTAACATTTTGGTAACTGTAGATCAGTGTAATTGGCTTCCTGGGTAATCTTGTGTACTTTGCTTTATGCATATGAAATTCTGCAAAGGAGGTCATACCCTTCACCAGCCTGACGCAGGAGAGACCCTCCTCATAAAAAGGCTTACAACCCCCCAGAGAGACTCTGTTCCAGCAGTTTGTAGATGAGTGTTTATGGAAGCAAGCTGGCGTGCCCCCCGTGGCAGTCAGCAGTCGAGTGCAGAGGCGAACGGACTGTTCACTTTGGAGTGTTGCACACGGGAGTAAATGGGAAAGAACGAGGGCATTCCTGTAGCCACGTGGGTGAGTCTCTGAAACGTAGCGTAAGCAGCACGTCCCATGTGAACAGCACAGTTCCATCCATAGGCTTCCAAAAACAGGCGTTGTGACTTAGCGCATTGTTTAGAGACGGTCGTATGTTGCAAAATGATCCAGAAAGGCCAGGGAGCAGTGCGTGCAGAATTCAGGTTGGCGGTTCCCCGGGGGGTGGATGGACCCGGGGGAGACGCAGGGACTTCGGTCAGCACCTGTCAGGCGCATGCTGCTCCTCAGCCTCGGGGGTTACACATCCAAGGTGGGGAGACGTGTTCGTTTTCTTTTCATTTTCTCATTATTCTTGAAACAGTCCATACCCAGCACGTATGTTTTCTCTTGGGGGAGATATTTTTCAAGATGCCATTGGGCGTCTGAACCTAGACACCTTCCAAAGCAGCGACCCCAGACCTCTTCTGTTTGGGGGGGTCTGTTTCTCCCTGACCCCCTGACCTCCTCGCAGGGCATAGACGAGGGCCCGGACGGGCTGAAGCTCATTTCCGACATCATCCGAGAGAAGATGGGCATCGACATCAGCGTGCTGATGGGAGCCAACATTGCCAACGAGGTGGCTGCCGGGAAGTTCTGCGAGACCACCATCGGTGAGTGCTGGCGGGCCCTGGGAGCCCGGGCCTTGGTGCTTTTTATTGAATTTATTGGGGTGACATTGGTCAGTCAACAAAATTATACCGGTTTCAGGTACACAGTCCACAACACATCATTTATCCCCCTACACCCTCCTCCACCTCACCCCCACGCCTCCGCCAGGTAGTCAGCACATGTTGACCCTGTCCATGAGTTTTTCTCTTTTTCTCCTTTTTTTGCTCAATCCCTCCAACCTTCCTCTCCCGCCTTCTTACCTGCACTCCCCACCGACAGCTCTCAGCCTGCTCTCTCTCTATGAGCCTGTCCCTGTTTTGCCTGTTATTTCATTCTGTTCTTTAGATTCCACAAATGACTGAAATCATATGGTATCTGTCTTTTCTCTGACTGGCTTATTTCACTTAGCATAATGCTCTCCAGGTCCATCCGTGCTTTCACAAAGGGTAAGAGTTCCTTCTTTTTTTTTTTTTTTTTTTTTATGTACATTTTCCATTTCTGGTATTTCCTATGGTGGACTCTTCCCTGCCCCTTTGACTTCCCGAAGGTGGACCTTTAGTGAGGTGGGGATTTTATGTAAGGAGGCCGTTATGTAGACCTGAAGTGTCTTCTTCAACAATCACCAGATAGAAAGTAAAGCCAAGGAGACCGTTTTGAATGGTCCTGATCCACTAACAAATGATCAAGGTGAAACAAACAAAAAACCCTGCAAGGTTGCTTGTACCCACAAACAGGTGGTTGCATCCACGGTGGGGCTCCCTCGGCCTTCGACACCCAGCTCCTCTTCACTCACAAACACCAGTGATCCCAGTGGGATCTGAGAATTGGTGGGAATGGTCCCTGCTTTTAGGTGAATAAGCTGTGGCCCAGGGAGTAAGTTACCTGCCCCAAGGTCACACAGCTAACACCGAACCCAGGCATGAACTTGGGCCTCCTGTTTCCTGAAATTGAAAGTTCTTTCTAGTTTTATACAACACTGATGTTGTAAAAAGTTTTGTTTCTTTTAAAAAGGGCTTTGGAATTTTCAGCTGCCCGTGTATCACATTAAAGGACTCATAGAAGGGTAATGTTCTTGTATCTGCAGTTCTTTGGCAAGAGTTTATCTATGTTTTTCTACTGCTCCAGAACTGAGTTCCACCCTGTCAAACACTCAAGCAAAGCGAACCACTTGTCCCTGGCAGACGGAACAGGAAGCTCTGACTCCTCAAATGGGAGGCTTGGGGGGAAATGCAGCTCCTGCTTCTCACACACGCCTGCAAATTAGGACATTAGTACTTTTCTTTTGCATGTTTCCCATTTATTTATTTATTTACTTAGTCATGTATTGACTAAGTAAACAATACATTAACAAGTCATGTATTGTTTTTATAATTGCTTTATTAATATACAACAAACAGCTTTCAAGGTCCAGCATACGTCTTCATAGCTGCACAGTATCCTGTCAATAATCCCATACGTGTGGGCACTTAAAACCCCTTTTTTCAGAGACAATATTTTTGGAGTGGAGAGGTATCACAAATAATGTAAAGGAGAAAAAAAGCAGCCTATAATACCATTTCCCAGGTTGATATTTTCAAAAGCGATGTAACCATGGGTAAGGAAATTCAAGCACTATGAGAAGGTACAAAATTAGAATTAAAATTGTAATTTCCCACCTACTCCCTCTTCTTGAAGGAAATCACTGTCGGCAGTTTCTAAGTATCTGTTCAGAAAAAAATTTACATATGTATATATACCACTATATTTATAGGTTTTACTTTTTCACAGTGAATTCTTTTATCCATGGGTAATAAAGCCTGTGAAATTATGGTGTAACTCGGTTTAAAAAAATAATAAATCGTTAACTAATTGTTTCAACTCAGTCCTGTTTGCCAATAGTCAATTGGTGATCAGTTTTGCCAATTGGTTGGAATTGACTGGTTACCCCAATCATTCCATAAAGCTGAGACTTCCTCTCCCATTCTTGATTGAAAACCTTGTATCTACCTGTAGATTTTTTTAAAGATTTTATTTATTTATCTTTAGAGGGGAAGGGGGGGAAGGAGAGAGGGAGAGGAACATCAATGTATTATTGCCTTTCGTACATCCCGTGCTGGGAACTGGCCTGCAGGGAACCAGCCTGCATCCCAAGCATGTGCCCTGGCTGGGAATGGAACCGCGATCATGTGGTTCGCAGGCCCGTGCTCAATCCACTGAGCTACACCAGCTAGGGCTCTACCTGTAGATTTTGATGAGGCTTTTTACCTGCCTCTAAGCTCTGTTTGTTGTAGGAAAGTTTCCAGTGGGGCACACGAGGGTCTGTGGGGTTGTACAGACAGACAAACAACCGGAAGTCACACCTTTGTCCCTGTGGCTTCTGTTTGCCCAGTGTTTCCACTGCCTTTGCTGTGGGTTAGACTGTGGTTACCGAGAGGACAGTGACCTGAATGAAATTAACTCAGCCATTGAACACAAAGATGATAATTTCTGAGTTGTCTTACTTGACCGGAATTTAATCGTGAGAAAATATCAGAAAGCCCACAGTAAGGGGCATGTCACAAAACAACTGGCCACACTCTTAAAATGCCACTGTCATAAGTGACGGGGAAAGGCTTAATGGAGTGTCTCAGACCAGCGAGGATTCAGGGAGTGAAGGATAGGATAGCACTGCCGTAATCGTGCAGGTTGGAGTATGGTTGTGTGTTAGGTCATTGTGTCCACACTAAATTTCCTGTATTCGATCATTGTGCTGGGCTTATTCAGGTGGCCTTTCTCGATGACATTAGCAATCAGGTCATTTTTAATTATGGTAGATTCAGGAATTTGAGCCCACTTGAGTCTTCCTTAGAAGAAGAAGGAAAAGAAATGGCATTGTTTTGGTGTCTTCTGTACATACTAACTGGGACGGTGAACTGTGGTGCCCCCTTGTGGTGAGAGCTCCCTGCATTCTTGGGACTGACGTCACAGAGTCCAAGACTTAGTTGTCCCACAAATCTTTTTCAAAGCCTGTTATGTGTCAGGCATGGCGCTAAGTGTCACGGATACATAAGCTCCTTGGGGCGCTTCTAAGCACAGAAACAAATACAGAATCACAGGCTGAAATGGGCATTTTGAAGGAGTCTTATTAAAGTAAGAGGTTGAGTCTCTCTCACACCTGGCACGAAAAAGGAGGGGATTTTCCTGTCTCTTGGTTCATATGGAGTTTGGCAGAGCCCTCCCTTGAGGCTGTTGGGCATGGCCTGTTCTGTACCAGGTGGTCCGGGTCCCAGCTTGTGACTGGTAATAACACGGTTAGTGTTTTTTATTTAATTATTTATTTTTAGAGAGGGGAAGGGAGGAAGAAAGGGAAAGATGTGCAAGAGAAACGTCCTTCAGTTGCCTCTTGCACGACCTCAACTGGGGACCTGGCCTACAACCCAGGTATGTGCCTTGACTGGGAATCAAACCGGCAACCTTTTTGTTTGCAGCCGGCTCTCAGTCCGCTGAGCCACACCAGCCAGGGTCATTAGTGTTTTCTTACCCATGATTTAAAACAATTTTTTTGAAGTCCATTTGAGGAAAAGTTTTCATTGCTGTAAATCCAGCTCACCTCTCTGGTGGACACCGGGAGTAACTGGCAGCCACAGAAGAGCCAGCAGACCCCACTTTGTCTGAGTAGCAAACAGAGAATGTCCTTGTCCCTGCCTGTTCTCCAGATGGCCCACAGCAGCCGGCAGCTGGGATCAAGTCACCCGCGTGGGGGGCGTGTCCGTGGTGCTCAGAGGCATCCTTGCTGTTGGAGGCACTGAGCAGCGGCCCAGGGTGAGAGACAGAGGAGAAAGACAGTAACGATGTCACACGGCGGAGGCCAGTGACGAAACGGTGTTGCACGGGGTCACCCAGATGTTCTGGTGACTGTTTAAGAACGGAAGAGGACAGCTTGCTCAAGCTGACACAGCTCTGCTTGGCTAAAGAGTAGATAAGAGCAAAGCTTGTGGGATAGAAAACGTGTTTCTAGGTGTTAGGTGCAGATGTTTTAAAGATTTTATTAGGGGGAATCTCCTTGAAAACAAATAGGAGCAGCAGTCTCATGACCCCTGTGTCCCCCATGCCCATCTTCAGTAACGAGCAACCTCTGGCCATTCTCGTTTCATCTGTGTGTGTCCCCCCTGCCACCCCCTCCCCGGGTTGTTTTGACATGATATTACTTGTGGGTGTAATTTTGATGTTGACAATCATATTTTTTCTGCACTGGGAGAACAGAACTCTACTGTCATGTTGTTTGGTTCTTACTTGTTTCTCTTCTCTGTTGCCACCCCCTGAGCAGCAGCGCAGCACAGAGAGTCAGAACTGTGGCCAGAATTTGGGCTCTGCCTTCTAGCAGCTGTGTGACTGTGGGCAAGTTGGTAAACCTCTCTGGACCTCCTGCCTGGAAGTGGAAATAACCACTAAACATGGTTACATGTTACCTAGGCCATCATTATTACGTGGGACTTTGAGTGCTAATTATGACTGATAGCCTGTTTTGACACCTGACTCCTATGTAACCTCCCAGCGGCCCTGAGAGCCTAAGGGTGCCGTCGTGTTTACTCACGAGGGAGCTGAGGCTGAAGGAGGTTAAGTCTGAGGTTCACAAACTTGTCTGCCCGTCGCAGTTGCCCGGGGAGCTTCAGAAACTGAGGCCTGCTCTACCTGAGACTGATTTAACTGGCCTGGGATGTGACCTGGGCTTTGGTGTTTTTAAAGACCCCGAGGGGACCGAAATGCACAGACAAGCTTGGGCACAGCATGGGAAGCTCGGGGCAGGCAGTGCCCAGGTGCTGTTGTCCTCGGCGGGCTGCCTGCCGCCTGTGTGGAGACGCTGACATGGGAGCTGGGACTCGGCCGGTCAGTTTTAGCATCCTGATTTCCAGGGCTGAGCCGCACCCTGGACCTCCAACAACCAGAGCACATTTCATATCCGCTTTTATGTGTAAAGTTTGATTTGTTTGTTTTTGGTTTTAACCCCAAATCCCCAAACAAACAAACAAAAAAGTACAAAAACTGCTACTAAGCATCAGTCTCATTGAAGGAACTGTCCCGATGGTGGGGATTTAGCTGTAGCAGAGACAAGGACCAGGAGTACACTTCTGTCTTCCACAGTTTAATCAGTGGAAAATGCTCATCAACATTGTATCAGGTCTCTATTGCCATCATGATACAAAGTAACAACAATCACAGAATCTCAGTAGCACACAAAATAAGCACAACTACACATCTGTGAGGCAACTGGGAGTCAGCAGGTCTTGGCCGGGGCAGCTGGGGTGGCTGTGTTCCGTGCGTCTGCCATCTTCCTGCTGGGCCCAGTGGGCGAGCTGGGGCATCCGCTTCTCACAGCTGAGGCAGAGGTACAAGGGTCCAGCCCTGCTGCACAGTGGACATCAAGCTTCTGCTGCATCGTGTCTGTTAATGTTCCTTTGACCAAAGCAAATCACGTGGCTGAGCCTAAAGGCGGTGGGGTGGGGAAAATAGGCCCCCTCGCTGTGAGTCCAAGCATATGCAGCGTAGTCAAGCCTGACATCCAAAGGGATGCACTCTCTTCCCAAAAGGGGAATGATCTTTTTCAAGACTTTATTTATTTATTTTTATAGGGAAAGAGAGGGAGAGAAACATCCATCGGTTGCCTCTCACATGCCCTTAGCCAGGGACCTGGCCCACAGTCCAGGCATGCGCCCTGACTGGGAATTGAACTGGCGACCTTTTCATCTGCGGGAGGATACCCAACCCACTGAGCTACGCCGGTCAGGGCAGAGTGAATGATTTTGAACAATAATCTGTTACACTTGTAAACACGGAAATTGAGGTTGTGTTTATGGTAGCAAAAATCGCAACGATTTTAGATTTCAAACACTAGAAAGATACTTAGATAAAATATAATACATGGACACAGCAACATACCAGGCAGCCATTGAAATGATGTAGGAAAAATATGCTGTCATTGAAAATTAGTCATGCCATAAAAAGGGAGAAAGCAGATTATGAAATCGCATATACATTATATTTTCAGTCTTGAGAAAAACTATGTATATTCGTATTGCAGTGAGTTAAAAATGTATGCCAAATTATTAGTGATCATTCGTGGTGAAATTCTGGCATATTTTTATCTTCAATTTCTCCTCTTAATGAATTTTCTAAATTTTCTAAAATGACCATATGCTCCTTTTAAGAAAAAACTTACTTTAAACTGTGTTAGGTGTGAAAATTAAGATTAGAAACCATTATGAATTTCCTTTTTCCTAACCTTTCTACAGGCAGCAAAGTAATGGAGAATGGCCTCCTGTTCAAAGAGCTCCTGCAGACGCCCAACTTCCGAATCACAGTGGTGGACGACGCAGATACTGTTGAACTGTGTGGTGCTCTCAAGGTAAAGTCCGCCTGTGCTTCCGCCCAAGGAGAGGACTTCCTCGTTCACGGCCACTGTTAGCCCTCGGAATCTCACCCTGAAGAATGGGCCCTGTGTTCTGTGCACTTGGCTTTGGCAAAGAATAGTGGATGGAGAGCCTCATGTTTCACTTCCTGCTTTGCCCTAGCCTTTCCTGGGTGGTTTGAGTTCCTCTCTCACTTCCGATTTGCTTTTATTTATAAATCTGGGGGACAGCTGTGGTGTTTTAGTCCTTCGAACGCCTGGCAGCATGCAGATTTGGGGAGCATGGAGAGTGCGTGGATGGTAGAGTTTTACCGGGGAGCAAAGCCTTCTATTAATTCGTATCTTTCTCCTGACATCTTATCTTGAGGAGGAAAAGGAACTGTTTTCTCTGAATCATGCTCCTGTCTTGGTTTGATCGTTCTGTTGGTTCTCGTGAGAGTTAAAGGAAAAAAGTCTGCTGCTGATGGAGGTTTTTTCAAGAATGGTTTGATCTCAAGGGAAAGATGTGATTAAAGAGGCAGCTCCTGTTGGCCAGAGGCTGGGGAGGGTAAAATAAAAGGAGGTTTCCACCCCTGGGCTCCTTCCTGGCCTCCAGGGGTGCGAGACCAGGTCTAGGTCCCTCTTACTGCCCCGACTCTGGGAACCAGCCAGCGGGGAGCTGGGCTGCTGAGTCACTTCTTTTGTGGCAAAAGCTGCTTTTCAGGAATTTGAGCAGCTAGGGAAGAAGTTAGGTAATGTGGCATTCACCTCACTTTGTCAGGTAGGAATGGCGAAGGTTCAAAGAATGAATGCCTTCCTGCCCTTTCTCTAAATTGAGCGTCTCGTTTAGGCATCAAAATTTAAAACCACTTTCCAGAATTAATGTTGTGTGTGGATGTGTGGGCACATGTTCCTACACCACGAGACTTTTAAAAATTAAAGCCACTCAAAGACCTGGGCTCCCAGGCTGGCACCTGTCCCTATTTCTAAATGCTCGTGCGGGGCGTTCCTCACACTGTAGGCAGGGCCTGTTCTGTGTTTGAGACTCTGGCTTCGGCTGCTTTGTTTGTTTGTGTTGGTTGGGACTTTTATGTGTTTTTAATAGGCCTTCATTAGTTTAATGACCACTCGACAGCAGGGGCATCCTGAATGCCTAATTGCCCAGCACCGGTCTGTGTCGCTCCGAAGCTGTTTCTGAATGACTGGATGTTTTGGGAGGTGGGTGGGGAAGCTGTGAGATCCAGCCCCGAACGAAGGGTGCTGCAGGGCAAGGTTCTGGATGGGCAGCTCTAGAAAAGCCCTGCAAAGGGGACCCAATGCTGGTCCTGTGTCTGAGCTTCGAATGGCTTTTTATTTTTCTTGGCAGGAAGCCTGTGAATGGGTTGGTTCCTGCTACCCCTGCAGAGTGGTTCATTGAGGGCAAGCGTAGGGGCGGGGGTTGAGAACCATGTACATCCTTCCCCTTGGCCATCCTCCGAAGCCGGATCAGTCCCTGTCATTCCTGTCAGCCTTGCGACAGAGCTGGGATTTTTGAAAACTAAGAAACGGCGTTTTGGCAGTAATCGAGTCTCACCGCGCTGTCATTCAGATGAGGAGACAGAGATCCAGAAGGAGTCAATGCCTCGGATGCAGCAAATGTTGGCACAGTCCTGGCGTCCGTGCAGCCTCCAAGGACCTTGGTCCTGCGGTCCCTGGTTACCGCGTCCAACCCGGCTTTTCTGGGTTGCGTCTGGGCAGCTGAGTGAAGTGCATCCTCATCAGAACCTGCCAGCAGCAGGGCAGAGTGTACAGATCAACCTGTATTACCATTTGAATAGCTGCCTTATCGGGGCTGAGATCCTTTAACAGAGACCCAACATAGTAGTGGCTGGACAGGCGAAAGCTTATTTCTTACTCCAAAGTCCTGGGTCCATGTGGCAACCCCGTTGCACGCAGTCCTTAGGGAGCCTGGCTCCTGCCAGCTCCCAAGGGTGTGGCCCTTGTCCTCGCGGAAGAGGAGGAACCGTCCCTCTGCCCTTCGAGGGGCTTGTGGCTGGTCTCATAATTAAATTGACATGAGCCAGATTCACAAGAAAAAAGTAACAGAATTTAATTACACATGAGTGTATGGGAAACCCAGTGCACAGGAGAGGTTCGGGGACAGGAAGGGGAAGTGAGGTGTGCGTGACTTGCTGGATTAGTGGATGCTGCGAGGCGCCAGGGCTCAGAGTGGAAGAGGGCCGTTTGCGAGACTGGAAGCAGAGCAGATCTGCAGTGATTAGATGTTTGTCCCGCTGTATAGATGGATTGTAAAAACTCATTTCTGGCTATAACTCTTATTAAATTTAAACCCCAATTTAACTTCCTTAAGGGAGAAGAAAAGGTTTCTCTTGAGTCTGAAGGGTCTCAATTGCCATCAGCTCAAAATCATTCTCATGCCAAAGTGGTACCTCCTGGGAGGCCTATTCTGAACCCCTCGATCGTCCTCATTTCAAAGGCAGTGACCAGAGCTCCAACCATCTCCTCTGCCTTCCAGGCAGCTGGGTTAAAAAAAAAAGAAACAAACAAACAAAGGCCACATGGCAGCTGTCTTTGCAGGCAGGTTCTGGGAAGTGGCGATGTAACACTTGGCCTTCAACTCGATGGGCAGTGCTGAACTGTGCGGCCATTCCTAGCTGCAAGGGAGGCTGGGAAATAGTTTTCCCCCTGGGTACCCCTGTACTTGCATGAGAATCGGGGTCTGTGTTACCCTGGAAGAAGGGAGAACAGGTTGGGGGATAACCCCATCCCCTGAGCCACATGACACTCCTTTGCAGGGCTGTCTGTCATGAGGGTGACCACTCGGACTGCTGGGCGTGTAGGTTCCCTCCAGGGTCTGGCTTTGATAAACGCTGCTGTGGGGGCAGCCTCGCGCCTAGTCTCTAGCCAGGGCCACTGCTGGACACCCTTAGCCATATATGGCTATTTGCATTTACATTCAAATTAAGTAAAACTTTAAAAAAAAACTTTAATTCGCTTTCTGAGTCACAGTAGCCCCATTCCAAAGGCTCAGTAGCCATGTGTATATCAGTGGCTACTGGCCATTTTACTGGATAAGCAGATCTGAAGTGTTTACATCATCTCAGAAACTTGTGCTGGACAACACTTCTCTGGCTAAGGCAGCTTCTTGCAGGATGCCAGGCCTGGTGGACAAAGTGAGGACGTGAGCTCAGCCAGGCTGCCTTGTACACACGGCCCAACCTGCGAACCATATGTGGTGCCTTGCCTTGTAGTAAGGCCACACTCTGCGGACAGAGCTCCGTCTTGGGTCAGGTGCACTGGGAGCCGGCCTCCAGAGGAGGCAGCCGCGTGTGGATCTACAGGGAATAGTGAGTGCTCTCTTGGCTTCGGTGGGGCCTTTCTTCCCGGGTGGGGAGTCTGTTGGCCTAACCGCAGGTAGCCTGGGCTGCTTCTCCAGTCTTACATCCTCTTTGTGGGAGGATGCGAGCGAAAGGAACTGAGTCCTGCCCGACCTGCCCCAATTCAGAATTTCAAAGGTGGCACCTCGGAGTGGGCAAACGCCTCAAGTATCACCATCACCCGGGAAATGGAGCGGGGCTTGAGCGCGTCCGTCTTCTGAAAATCATGGTATTTTTAGCTCCAGAACAGTTTCAAGCAGATTTAAATGCATGGCGGATAATGATAACTTGCACAGCTGAGCAATCTCGGAGGACATCTGCTCGAATGCTATTCAAACACAATCTGACTGGCTCAGTGTGTTTATTTTTCTTTTGACAGTGATCAATGGCAGGGTGGGGGGAGAGCGAGGATTTTAAGATCCATCATAAGATGATTAAACCGGGTTGGGGCCCAGGGTCCCCTCAGATGAGAAGAGTTTACCCTGCAGTAGCCTCTGTACCACCCCGACGTGGGGGGGGGTTAGACGTCCAGTGGGGACTGTGAGGTGGTCCCAACCTGTATGCCCCGCAATGAAGGGGCCGAGCGGGGGGTCAGAGCCCCGAGGCGTGGGCACCCTTACCTGCCTTTTCTCTCAGTGCAGTGACGTGAAAGCTCAGAAGCACTGCTTTGGAGCTCAGGGCTCACTCATCCTTACAGCTCCTGCTTGGATGCTTCCAGTGACTGACAGCTCGCTCCTCTCTCTATGTCTTTCCGTTGGGTGGAGTCAGCTCTTCCTATTAGAAAGTTCTTATCTTGACTCTGAGATGGCTGCTGTGTGCCTTTCACCCTGAGGCCCTAGAGCAGGGTGGTGTGACCCCCACTCCCTACAGAGGAGTCAGGAGCCAGGTCTCCTGGGTCAGAAACCCAGCTCTGCGGGCTCCGACTGTACGACCTCGGGCTGCTCGCCCCGTGTGCTGGAGTTTCCTCGCTTCCTCCCCACAATGCACAGAAAAGGGCTGCCTCGCAGGAACGTGGCGAAGACTAAACGCATCGATAATATACGAAGCACTTAACAGTTCGAGAAGGTTAACTTTTGTTGTTATGTTTATTATTACTTCCCCCACCATAAATCTTTTCTCCTCCTGAGCCTATCCTTATTACCTCCCAAGCCTCCGTGAAGGCCAGCCAGGCACTGCCCTTTGACATCCAGTCACAGAGGGTCTGGGAAGGTTTGTGACCCAGGGAGGAGCTGGTGGCCAGGCCAGAGGTGCCACGGTGTGGAAGCAGCCAGGCACGGGGAGGGTGGGGCTGCGGAACCGGGCACTTGGCGCACGTCCCAGCTGCATCCCTCACCGGCAGGCTGTTCTCGGCAAGCCCCTGAACCTTTCGTGGCCAGCCAGGAGGAGAGACACGCACCGGTCAGAACTCCAGCGAGACAGCCTGTGCACTGGGCCCCGTGGGGCTCACAGCGTCACTCCCTCGGTAACCCCTCTTCCATCTGTTCTCTGCTGTTCAGTCCATAGACATTTACTGGAGTTGGTTTGTCGGGTGACCTCCAGAAGGTGTCATGTGTGATGAAGAGGGACACAGGGACACAATGCTGGAGGCATCGGAGAGCAGTTTCAGCAGTCTAACCATTTGGATCCTTGGCCTCATCACGTTGCCTTGGTAACATCGGTAAAGCATCTGACTCTTGAGTCTCTGCCCAGCACCCCATCTGAAAGGTCTGGCAATCCCAGGGGCTGGGCCGCCCTCCCCTCTGGATCAGAGCTGCAGAGCCTGATCCCTGCTCGCCCCTCCGCATCTCTCAGGGCTCCTTTCTCACTGCCCCTCCCCTCTCCTCTTCACAGGATGCTGCCAGACACCAAGTGCGCCAAGCCAGGAATTGGCCGCTTCCTCATCACCTGCACACACAGCAGGTGGTTGGGGATGGATGATCAGGGAGCTGATGACGCCTGCAGGGGGCATCCCCGAGTGGCAGGGAGGGGGTGAGGAGCTGTTGCAGACACAGGCAGAAGTTAGTCTGAAAACATGTGCGCCCTGGTCAGGCCGTTAATGCAGCAGACTGGGGTCCTGGTCAGCTCGACCTGCAGCTGTAGGAACCAGGCTCTGAACAGGGCCTGGCCTCGCAGGGAGGAAGTGACCTCCTGGAAGCCACTTCGTTGGTCTGCTGTAGCTCACAACCGCACTGAGAGACCAGAACACAGAAATAGTTGGTCTGTCTGCAGCCTCCATGCATCTGTGTCAGTTTTCTGGTTATTTTTCCCCCTCTGTATTGATAGCAATGAGAGGACTACCAGCGGCCAGAGTAATAAGCTCTAGTACCATTACCGAGGAGGAGAAAATACATGGGGGCCCTCTCCACTCTGATGCGCCTGCTCCCTGTGGCCGCAGGGCAGGCGGGCTCTGTCTGTCTGTCTGTCTGAAGGAGGTGAAGCTTCAGGAAAGTGCCTCAGATTTTTTCCATCTGAAGTGGCTTTGCAGCTTTGGTCCCTTGGTGAGCCAGAGCTGTGTCAAAGTGGCCAGCTCTCTTTCTGGGGCGAGCCTGGCCACACCAGGGCTGTGTCGGATGCATTTATCAAAAACCGAACATCAGCCAGAGGAGACAGTTTTCTTCCCCAGGTCCCTCCGTTTTTTACCTCATCCCTCCAATTTTAATAGGCCCGATGTTTAAAGAATGTTCTCTTTCACTAATAAAACTTTCTTTTGGGGGAAAAAAACACACATTTATCTTATTTTTACTGATTGCCCATTTGTTACCAGCTAGCTTCATGTTTCAGTATCTCTTGAGGCACAGATCCATGTATGGTCACCAGGTATCACAGAACAACACTGGTGTGGTTACACAGCCAAAATACGTGCATTTTTCCTGACATCACGCGTCCTCAGTGAAGGAGCCAGTGCAGTGGGAAGGGACTGGGGCCTGGGGGCCGACCCGAGGGCCCCCGCGCTGCCGTGCGGGCAAGGCCTGGCCGAGACACCACCTGCTCTGCACAGCCTTCCTGCTGGGAGTGGAGCTGGAGGCCCTCGGCGCCTCTGGGCACTGCCGTCTGTGCGCCCTGTGATGTGCTCTGTTCTGTCTCCTTTTCCAACCTGGCCGTCCGCTCCTTTGAGGAGGACTTCTGCGGCCGAAGCCATCTTTGCAGCTCCGTGCGGAGGGTACATTTATGACTTGTGTACTGTTCTTTGTGCGTGTTATAGTTCAGTAAGATATTTGATTGGAAAACAAACCCAAAAGGTAAAGCAGTTTATGCGGACAGTGTTTCACGAGAGACCAGCATCAGCGCTGTCATTTTCGGGCTCGTGCTCGTCCACTGCTGCCTCCCGCTGACCCCAGGTCTGGGCTCCGTCCCTGAACACGGTCCCTGCTTTGATCCCTCTCGCTCATGATCAGGGAGCAGGCCCGAGGGCTGTGCAGGAGCCAGGGGTCCCCGTCCCGGCCTCGCCCCCACCCTGCCCCACACCCGCATCCGCAGTGTGTGTGTGACCGCGTCCTGGCTCCCTCGTCTCCTTCACAGAACATCGTAGCCGTGGGAGCCGGGTTCTGCGACGGTCTCCGCAGCGGGGACAACACCAAAGCTGCCGTCATCCGCCTGGGGCTCATGGAGATGATCGCCTTCGCCAGGATCTTCTGCAAGGGCCAGGTGTCCACCGCCACCTTCCTGGAGAGCTGCGGCGTGGCCGACCTCATCACCACCTGCTACGGCGGCCGGAACCGCAGGGTCGCCGAGGCCTTTGCCAAGACTGGAAAGGTAGCCCCTGGCGTGCCCTCCCCAAACCCCTCCCTCCTCCTTGAGACCCCTGGGCTGGGGTGAGAGGCAATCCAGTGGAGATGGATTCCTTCCCCCACTCTCCTCTTGAAATAAGTGATTCTCTAGTCTTTACCATAGATTTGTTTAAAAGATTATTTAGAGAGAAGGGAAGGAAGGGAGAAAGAGAAGGAGAGAAACATCAATGTGTGGTTGCCTCTTGAGCACCCCCTACTGGGGACCTGGCCCATAACCCAAGCTTGTGCCCTGACTGGGAATCAAACCAGCAACCCTTTGGTTCACAGACCATCACTGTATCTACTGAGCCACACCAGCCAGGGCTGATTTTTTTTTTTTTAATCCTTTGTTTTTATTTAAGACCATTGAAGAGTTGGAGAAGGAGATGCTAAATGGGCAGAAGCTCCAGGGGCCTCAGACCTCCGCTGAAGTGCACCGCATACTCAAACAGAAGGGGCTGCTAGACAAGTAAGTCACCGTTGCTCTTGACTTACTCTAAATCAAGTAAGACCAGAGAAACAGTATCATCCTGCTTCTCTCGTGACCGCCAGCCCAGTCAGTGTCACGGACACAGCTATGTGATAAGTGCACCAGACCTTTGTGACATTAGTTCCGTCCTCTGTGTGGCATGCACAGCTGTGGCAGGAAAAGTCTACCTACCCCGGAAATGGGTGTTTACACAAAACACAAAACCAGCTCGACTTCAGGAAGAAGAGCTCAGTTCTTCCCATTATACAATATGAAGTTTAAGATTCTGGTTGGTTTGGTAAGAGCTACATGTTTTAAGTTTTAAATTTAAAAACATATGTGTGCTTTGCTGTTTTTACAAAAAGATAAAATTCTGTTAATAAGCCACCAAACAATTCAGAATAGAAGGAAAGACACATCTCCCCAGATCTTTACCACTAGCAATGGAACGACCCGTGTTGAGTCTTGGTGAGCAGCCTTTGCAGCCGGTCCTCGTGTGGATGGATGGACGGACGGACAGGTAGATGGATGGATGGATGGATGGACGGACGGGTGCACGCGCTCATCCAGCCTCCACCGCCCTTCCAGGCCAGTCACATGTTCAGGTGGGCTTGGGTCAGCTTGATCTGCCACCCCACCGAGGACGTAGCCCAGTAGCACCACAGAAACTGCTCGACTCTCTGTGGCTGCCCCTGGCCCTTCATGTTGCTAATTTGTTGAGCCTTCCTCCATAATCATGGAGGAAGCATTTACCACCTAGTACATGCTTATGCAGTGTATTCTGTGTGTCCTTAACTCTCTGTAACACTCTCTGGGAGGGGAAGTCTGATTGTCTGGGGGGGGCTGGGCGATGGGCAGCATCTCTCTGGTCACGTCTCCTTCATCCTCTCAGGTCAGCCCAGGTGTCTCCTGGCCCCAGCCCGGCCCCCTCACCTCTCCCTGCTCTCCTCTCTTCAACCAGTGCAGATGGATGAGCCACAACATTCCCTAATGACAGTGGAAAATGAGGGAGGACAGGGCATTTATCTTCCTTCTTTAATTTGCATTTTATATTTCTGAAACGGCTTTCACACCCGGCCAGGCAGAGATGGAAGTCATAAACAAGCCTCCAGAGAAGGGGAATTACCTTGAAATCGTGACCGGAAGGAAAACACCCCTGACACGCATGGTCTTCTCACGCATTTAACAGCAGTGATGCATTTGCGTGTGGCTGGCCCTGCTTCCATGACCATTAAGTCTTTATCAGGAATTTGTTTAAAGTCTTAACCAAAAATACCTGGGTCTTCGGTGATGGTTAGTATCTACCAATGACAGTTTTAAAGTGGCATCAGTGTGCTACCAAGGGGTGCGTCTGATGGGGTTTTATGAATTCACGAGGTGGCTGGCGGTCTGTCTTCATCATTTCCCTTCAGGAGGATGCAGACTGGAACCGGCCTCCTGGGGCCGGGACCTGACCTGCCGGTGTTAGAGAGCAGGTGTCGTCAAGCAGGTGGAACACGGCTCTGAGCAGACGCCTCTCCTGAGTCGTGTCCCATTTTCTTCCCTCTGATGAGAAATCGAACAGGCTCTACCTGTGCTTAACGAACCTCTGGAGGGAGCACCCCGCCTCTCTCAGGCCAGATAACAGAGCCCGACAGGACTCCTCCGCCCCCGCTCCTGCCTTGATTTTTTTTCCTTTTTTCATTCCAGCTGTCACTACTATGGTCCTCCTCTATTTCCTTTGCCCCTCCCTCCCCCATTGCAATGGAAAGAGCAGTGAGCAGGAGGCAGCATTCAAGGCTGCGTGTGTCTTACTAGCTGTGTGGTCATACGCAGGTCATACATTTCGCTGCTCTGCGCCCCCATCTCTTTATTCCCAAAATCAAATGGGTAGACCAGATGGTTGCCCTGGGCCCTTCTCCCTTGAGTGGTCAAGTGTGAGGCCTCCTGTGGTCTGCAGTTCTGGGGTTGGCATCTGAGGCAGCCCCTCTCTGTCCAGGACAGGCACACCTTGTTTCGTCGCACCTCACAGGTGGTGCCTTTTTCACAAATTGAAGGCAAGACCATCCGCCCAGAAAAAGATTTCTTTACTTACTGTATTGCAATACTTGCTTCACTGCAGTGGTCTGGAACCGAACCTGCAATACTCTAAGCTATGCCAGTACCTACTTACCTTTCTCATAGCATGTGCCCTTATCCCTTAGAACACCTTCCTGAATTGAAACAGGCTTCCCTTTGCCCTGGACACCTCTTCTCAGACTCCTGTGTACATCCACCTGTCCTGCATACATCCACCTGTCCTGCGTACATCCACCTGTCCTGCGTACATCCACCTGTCCTGTGTACATCCACCTGTCCTGTGTACATGCACCTGTCCTGCATACATCCACCTGTCCTGCTGTTCGGCCTGCCTGACACCCTCTTTGATGTGCATCTCAGCCCACATCACCCTAAAGGCAGGTCTGTCTTCAGAGAAGCCTTCTTTCACATCCTCTAACCACAAATCAGGTCCCCTGCTTTGAGCTTACTGTTTACACCAGCAGTTAGCAGACTATTCCTATAAAGAACCACACAATAAATAGTCATTGTAGGCTGAATATAGTTCCCGTGTATTCTTCTGTTTTTCTTTTTTTCGCTGCACAGCACCCCGAGGAGGTGTTTCTCTGTAGGGCGGGAGCTTTTCATCTTGGTTCGGCCCCACAGGGCTGGGGCTGCAACCTGATCCAACAGGATCGATGTGTAGGTGGGAGGGAGGCACGGGGGGGACACACGCCTGCCTTGCACCCCCCAGACTGATGCACTCACATCCACGTGTCCACTCACACGCTTGGACCACACACGCCACCCACGTGAGGCACAGCACACAATACCTCACCCCAGGCTGCTCTCCCTCCCGTCATCTTTTTCATTTACAGAACTTGGAAAATGTGAAAATCATTCTTAGCTTACAGGAGATACAAAGCCAGGCCACAGGCCAGACTGCATGTTTAGGCCGTGGCTCCTGGTTTAGGCAGTGTTGCTGCTCACGTGCTATGGACTTACTGCACAAACACACAGTTTACTTTTAATCTTCAAGTTTGGGAGGAGGGGGCACATCCTTGTGGTTAAAAGATGTCGGTCACATCCAACGGGCACTTGGCGAGAAGGGAGTCTTCGTCTCGCCCCAGCACAGCCGTGCTCCCCCGCTCAGTGCGCCGTGCCCACTGCCCTGTCACGGCGTGATGGGTACGGCCCCACGTCCCACTGCGTCCCCACTTTCCTTCTTTATTTCTCAGATACATTTTGAAGATCATCTGATATCTGCACCTAGAGATGTAATGGCTGTGGAACATTCTACTGTAGAGGAGAACCCAACTCCTCCTGGCAAATAGTAAAGTTGTCTGGGTTTTCCTGCTGGTACAGAACTCGCTTTAGCACATTCCCTTGTCCATGCGTCTTTATGTGTGAGCATAAGGTGTTTGCGTTAGTTTGCTCAGGCTGCTGTAACAGAACACCATGGACTGGGTGACCGGCACAGCGGAAACGTCCCTCTCACAGTTCTGGAGGCTGGAAGTCTAAGATCATGGTGTTGGTGTTGTCAGGGTTCTCGTGGAAGGACCCCAGCCATATTTAAACCCAGAGGGTTTAGGGCCCCTCTAATGAACCCTTTTAACTTAATGACCTCCTTAAGGGCCCCGTCTTCAAGTACAGTCACAGTCTAGGCACAAGGGGGTAGGACTTAACTGCATGAGGGATGTGAGTTAGTTCATAACAACGTTGTAAGCTCCTTGAGGGCCGAGGTTCTGTTTACAACACCGCACATTCCTACACCTAGTTGACACCGAGCTCGTCATGAGTCGTCGGTATCCATTGGTGGGACTGCTGACTGATTAGTCTATGTCAGTATTTTTCTATGAAATATTGCCTTTGGTCCTCCTCTCACCTCTAACCTTATTTGGAGAATTTCCCAAGACTGATGTAATTGGCCTTGTAGCATTTTGTATCATAGAAAATTGCATTTGGATGGGCAGCATAGCCAGTGGTTGAGTGTTGGCTCCAGGGTTAGGAGTCCCACTTTCTCCTTACACTCAATATCTCTAAGCGTCCCATCAACAGAATACGTTTTGGAAATGCTGGTTGTGAAAGTTGGGAGTGCTTTGGGCTGCAAGAGCACTGCTCAGTTAAAAATGCCTTGAACAATAGGGTGATTTTTCTCACATAACAAAGAGTCTGGAAGTAGAGTCTGAAAGAGTCTGGAACTGTCCACTCAGTGCCTCTGATTTACTCATAGAATCTCAGTCTCCTCGTTGTCCTTCTCTCAAAGCCTCAAGGTGGCTACAGGAGCGCCAAGCTTCATATACTCACACAAGTGCACTCAGCTGCAAGAGAAGTCCCAGGGAGCAGATTTTTCCTCCAGTGCCTTGACAGTGCCTGTCAAGGAGAGAACTATCTTCCCCAGAAACTCTCAACAGATGTACGTGTCTTGATGGCTAGAATTTGCTTACTTTGCTAGTTTGAGGTGAAAGAAAGGCTGAGGAAGTGAGCATTAGTTTATTTCCAACCTCAGAAAGCAGACAGGGGGTTGGGAATGGCTTTGGGTAGCCACTTACTACCTGCCACCCTGCTTTGTAAGCACACAAGTCATTCTCATCCTAGGAACTGAAACAAAGCCACAGAAATACAATGGGAGGGGCCAAAATCTCCAGTCTCTGGCTCCCATTCACAAGAATTCATTCAGCAAATACTCATGAGCACCGGCCCCTTGCTGTGTACTGTCAGGCCACAGGAAACAAAGGCGAACAAAACAGACTTTGGCCCTGCCCTCCTGGAGCTCACAGCCTAGGGCCTGGGGGCCGTCTGTGGCTGCATTTATAAACTCTTTTTCATTGCACACCCACCGTCTGCCAGAGAGACTGTGAGCCTTCCCAGGGCTAATAGGCTGCGGAGTCGGATTTGATTAAGTCTAGCTGACTCCAAAAGATGACAACACATTCTGAACCTTCAGAACCCCACAATGACAGGCTGTCATTACAGGATTCTCACTAGGTAATTTTCAGGATGGCCTCTAAGCCTCTTGATCCTGTCAAGCTCTCTTCGGGCTGCGTATGTGTGCGTGTGCATGTAAAAGCCTGATTGAAATTAACTTTATTTCCTCGGTGATACCTGCCACAATTCTTGCAGAGCCAGCCGTACCTGGGATAATGTTGTGCTTTCTTACAGTGGATTACCAACCCACACCTTCACACCCTCTTCCATCTAAAGCTTTCATTTATACGTGTTCACATCATAAAAGAAAAGGCAAAATACATCCAGCTTCTGGCATGAGGCTGTGCTCTGCTAATTGTGGGTCCCCACGCCGATTCTCGCAGGAGCACTCCAGACTGAGTTATTTATGGAGACGTGTGGGCTGCCTCGTCTTCGTCCTGTCTGGGGGAGAGAGAGCAGTACCTCCTTGCAGCTTAAAATGTATTCTCTGGTCTTCTAAGATAGTGACAGAAGCCCTGGCCAGGTGGCTCAGTTGGTTGGAGTGTCGTCCTGGACACCAAAGGGTTGTGGGTGTGGTTGTGGTTTTGATCCCCCATCAGTGCACATACCTAGGTTGTGGGTTTGATCCCTGGTCGGGTCATGAACGAGAGGCAGCTGATCGACCTTTCCCTCTCACATCAATATTTCTCTCCCTCTTTTCTCCCGTCCTCTTTCTGTAAAATCAATAATAAAAAATGCCCTTGGATCAGGATTCAAAAATAATAAAGAAATAAATAAAATAGTGACAGAAACTTGGGCTCATTCTAGATTTGACTGAGAGCCCAAGTCACAGCTTCTCCTGTGAATGACCACCGTGACCCTGTGTGTTTACACCCAACGTTTGTAGGTGCTGCCCCCCAGCTGGGCAGAGGACAGTGTGGGTCGTACCGAGATGTTATGGCCGCCAGGGCAGAGGCGCTTGGCACACCAAATAATGGAGGAAAGTGGGAGGTGATCACAGGTGGCCCCTTCGCGTACAGTCTGTTATGTCAGAAAATCGGAATTCGTTGTACGAAGTAAACCAGGTGGCTTCACTTGTCTTTTCACATCCTCCCCCCAGGTTTCCGCTGTTCACGGTGGTGTATCAGATCTGCTACGAAGGCAGGCCCGTTCAGGAGATGCTGTCCTGTCTGCAGAGCCACCCGGAGCACGTATAGGAAGCACATGCAGCATGCCAGGCAGCGCGCTGCCTCTCCCATCAGTCTTTTGGGTTCAGACGGAAACTGGGACTTAGCCACCAGATGTTTGCTTGCCTGTGACCCCATCATGGATGTGTATGAATTTTTACAGGTTCGTCGTTAAATTTCGAGAAGTGGATCATTGGCTGAGGTGTACTGAGCAACACCTAGACGCACACACGTGAACACGTGAGTGTTCATTCCTCATTCTGTGGATGATTTTATGAACCAAAATTAAAAGTCCTTTTTAAAAATTACTTTGAAACTTCCCCACTGTGGTAGTTTATAAGACTGGGACTATCTCCACTAAATTTCTTAGATGTAATCCATTTGTCCTTGAGTGAAGGGACTTTTTTCCCCCTCGTTATCTGGATGTTAAAATTTAACCAGCATTAATAACGTGGTAGAATGGAAGAGGGAGTGTGTTCAAAGATCAACAGACTAACTTTTAAACATTCTCTCAAAGCCAGCATAATTAACGACTTTGATTGTGAGTCGACTTTTTTTTTCCCTTAAAACAATCAGGTATTTTTAATTAGATAATCCACTAGGCATCTTCCTATCGCTGCATTTTTCTGTGTTTTTAGCCTCTTTGCCCTTCATTAGCTGCTAGAATGTGCTTTCACAAAGGCTCAGCAGTGGCAGAAGACAGAAGTCTCATCTGGGACTCCCCCGCTGTGACTGACCCCTGTGTGTCAGACAGCAGTTCTGGGCAGGCATTTCCTTTACGCTTCGCCGGTCCCCTGAGAGGGGGCGCTGTTACTCCCCTCTGAGGATGCTGCCTCTGTGCCTGGTCACCTGGTAAGGGGGTGCAGAACCAGGAGTTCAAAGTCCATTTCTCCCCCACTCCACCAATGTGCCCTGAGACTTTCTCAGGTGTCACGGGCTGGATTGGCCTCCCCCTCATTGGGCGTGGCCAGGGGCCCCCGTGCAACGCCCTGTGCGACCTTTCCTGAGGCCACAAGGCTTCCTGCTGCTGGGGTTTGTGTGTGGCACTGTCTAGACTGGCAATTTTCAACCTTTTTCATCTCGTGGCACACATAAATGACTAAAATTAGGCAGCATACCAAAAAATACATTTTTTGATGATTTGACCAAAAAAATGGGTATAGTCAGGTATTGCATGTTTTTTAAAATTCTTGTGGCACACGGTTGAAAATTGCTGGTCTAGACTCAAAGTGTGTTCGTCACTCCATCTAGTGCAGGTTCCCCAGGTCCCGCCACAGACCTGTGAAGTGGGGTGTGACGTGTGTGCCTCAACACACCTTCCAGGTGCTTCTGGCGTTCACAACAGTTTTAGAAGTGCTGCTTTAGAAAATGCCCTTTGGAGTGGCATTTCTCAAACCGTGTGCCCTAGGAGACAAGTGTCCTGGGATGCAGGGGTGGGTCATTCTGGGTGTTCCCTGACAAGGTCAAGTGAGTTTGGGGAGAGCTGAATCTTGGTGGTGTAGAATGTGTGTTCATACGTCAGTGGGACCTGCTTATTTATCCTCACCAGTTCCAAATACATTAGATTATGGAGATTTTTTTTTTAGCAAGGAAATTTGCCAGAGTGTCCTGGGGACAACACTGTTCTCGCCTGAGGTGACCTTAGGATAACTCACACGCACCCTTCCCTCCTTGTATGAAATTGGGGTGAGTGAGCACCTGTGGTCATGTTAGTTCTCGGCTTGACAGTTCAGGTCTGCCATGAAGCTTTGATGAGGCGTTAAGGTGACGCCCACAAGAACAGCCTCGCTGAAACGCACATTATGGGGAGTAAGTACTTTTAGGTTGGAAATAGAGTGGGAAGGACTGCCTCTCCGTCAATGAGACTGTGTCAGGGCTGCATTACGGGTTTCCTTATGTGGCACTTGATGAACTAGTGCCACGTTAGGGAAACGTGGGTGTCGCTTAGATGTTCACGGATTTTTGGCCACTTTCTGAGATTTGACCGTTTTTTATTTTCCAGTCTGGGACTTCTTTTCCCTGTATCTGAAATGATTGTAGAACAGATTTTTTGTGGGAATTTTTAAAACTCTATCCAAAATGTTTCAGGGGCACTATGCAACCTCATCCACAGAAGTATATGAAGTTTACCAAATGCTCTCAAGTTTTAGTGGTTTCAGTGCCACCATTAAGTTCATCAGTTTTTGCTTGTCTCATGACTAATCCTTTTTAAAGTTGGTATGTACATAGGTAACAAAGTGTTACTTTTAAGATACATAAAGGACTGTAAGCTTTACATTGTGGTGTCTATTAAGTAAGGTAACCAGAGGTGAGGAATTCTCTCTTGTATGTTCTCATCTGTGCTCTGCTTCCTGCTCCGGGTTTGTACTTGAGTGTTTTTCCTTTACAAATGCTCTTACCACTCCGAAGTCTGCTGACTGTACCTCTTGAACATACTTATATTCTGCACATTATGGAAAAAGGCAAATTTTATAAGTCTGTGCTCCGCTGCCTATAGATATTTATTACTCTATGAGTTATCTATTTTTGTAACCACCTGTGGTCTCTCATATCTTACCGACGATAGTAATAGAGGGAGATGTCCCGAAGAGAAGCTCAGTTGTACATTTCAGCAACCTGTGAATGTAAAAACGGCACTGGTGCCTTGCTCTCCCCCCATCTATTATCATGTGGAACGGTCACCTGTCTTGAAATCCGTCGTAGCGGGTGGAGTTGAGCTAAACCCCTTCTGGTTTTTTATTGAACTGTTTAGCTATGACGAGGCCCCGTGGCATTGGCCCAAGGAGTGGTGAGGCACCAGTGTACAAAGGGTTCTGCAGTTTTTCCATTAATTTTAATCTAAGAGCCTCTTACTTACATATGCACTGTATTTGTTTACAGACTATAGGTGGATATAATTTAAAAACCTGGTTTAATAAACATTTAACCCCCCTAAACCTGTGCTACTGATCTGATCTTTTTTAAAAATCAGTTTCTAACTTTATTTATTTAGGTCAACTCTTTTTCCCCCCGAATTGTACTGCATTAACAATAATAAAAAGGTGATTTTTAAAAGAAAGGCTTCCTCTCTAATTCCAGTCTTCAAACGCCTGTTTTCATGTGTCTGTCTCTTCCCATTGCTTGCTGAGTGGCATTGGTTGGTAGGATTGTATAAATTTCAGGCATGCAATTCTGTCAGACGTCATCTGTACGTGGCATTGTGTACTCACCACCCAGAGCCCATTCTCCTTCCGTCACCATGTATTTGACCCTCTCTTAGCTTTCATTTGTTGCTTTCAGTTTTATGTCCCACATATGAGCACCATCACGCAGTTCTTGTCCTTTCCCATCTGACTTAATCCACTTAGCATGATACTCTCAGGATCCATCCATGTCATCGGAAATGGCAGGGTCTCGTCTTTTGTCATGGCTGAGTAGTATTCCACTGTATATGCGTACCACATGTTCTTTATCCAATCATCTGCCGAAGGACACTCAGGTTGTTTCCATGTCTGGGCCACCATGAATAACGCCACAAACACGTATACTTGTAGGGTGGAGGCAGCCAGTGGACTCATGAACTTGAAATCTACCCCAGCCCCACCCCAAATACTTAGAAAAGCCAGGAAAATATAGCCAGTGTCTTTTTATATGCAGGGCTATTCTCCCCCCAAAATTTAAGTGAAATCCCTAGGAGCCCAAAACAAATAGGAGCATGACAGGCAGAGCAGTAAAGCCACAGTGTCTCCATGGCTGCCAGCGCAGGAGGTGGGAATTCCCTCTACTATCTGATGGCTCGAGTTGTAAAGATGACGCTGGACCTAGGGCCCTTCACGGGCTACACTGTCATGGACGAGATGGGGTAAGGAGACCCACATACAGGCAGAAACAAGGAAGCTGGCATCCAGGCAGAGAGAAATGTCTCCTCTGAAAATACGTAATCATGAGTCCAGTACCACACACACGGGCTTTGGGTTTGAATTTTTATATGCAGGAAACCACAAGCAAAAAGTTAGCATCAAAATTGGAACTTAGGCCAGTAATACCAGGATGTAGCTAGCAGATGCAAACACAAAAACACTACACTAACCCGCACTGGATGCAGGCTGCACAGACTTTCTGCGAATGAGGTCCCACTGAGTATACATTTAAAATAATTAGAAACTCATTATGAGTTTGTAAAAGATAATTAAGGTTTCTTTGAAAAACCGAGTTTGTGAAAGAAAATAGAACTTTTTAAACAGAAGAATTAAGTGCCTGGGGTTTTAGGTAATTAATGTAGCAATATGATAGATGCCATGAAACATAATTTTAAAAATAACGACAAAGAAGGAAGATTAAAGTATTAAGGACAAATCACTATGGAAAAAAAAAAACCCCAACCAGACTGATAAACGAGCCTATTAGAATATCTAGAAATGAATATAATTTTAATTATGTCATGGGGCAGATTAAAGAATATATTTGACAAAGCTGGAGATGAAATTAGCAAACTGGAAAATAGATCTGAATGTAGTAACAAAGCAGCAAAGAAAATATTTGAGAACTTCAGAAGCAGAGGCTACAATGAGAAGACTCGGAGTACCTCTGGCAGGAGTTCCGGAAGACGGAACCAAACTTCTGACCAACAGCTTTCCCATTCCCCCACCCCCAACTTCTGGCAACCACCATCCCTGCTCCTATGGGTTCACCTTCTTTGAATTCCACATATAAGTGAGACTTAGCACATTGTCCTCCAGCTTCAGCCGTGTCGTCACCTATGGCGGGACTTCCTTTTTATGGCTGAGTAATATTCCGTTGTGTGTAGACAGGCCACATTTTACCCATTCATTCCTTGACAGACACATAGGTTGTTTCCATATCTTGGCTGTCGTGTATAACGCTGTCGTGAACAGGGGAATACAGATACCTCTTCAAGATTCTGATTTCATCTCCATCAGATGTACGCCCAGAAATGGGATCGCTGGATCACATGGTAGCTGTGTTTTTCGTTTTGGGGGAAACGTCATGCTGCTTTTCATAGTAGCTGAACTACTTCACGTTCCCACCAACGGTGCACAGGGTTCCCTTTCATCCACACCTTTGCTGACACGTTCATCTCTTGTCTTTTATCAACAACCAGCTTGACAAATTACAGGGTGCAGTAAGTTTCATGACAAGCTACTTTTCCAATGGCTCTGTTTTATTCTCATCGTGTAAAATGCAGAGATGTTTCATTCCTTGGTTTTGGAAGGGGAACTAAAGAGCCACTCCAGTGTTTAAAAAGCACATGTTCTAAATCGTGGACCTTGTTGGCATTAATTCTAGAGAAGGCAGGACAATCATATACACGAAATCTGGACTTAACTGTTTAGTCCTGGTGAGGAAAAGAACAGACAGACACCCACAGGGGTACCCATCCACATTCCAACACAGCCTCCTGTGTCCAAACAAGGGTCTGCCAAAACAGACACAATGTTGTAGTGACTCATCGGTAAATCCTCCCAAATCTCTTGACATTTTTGCAAGTTCCATCTCTTGTCCTTAACTACTCAAACACCTTTTTAGCAATGACTGAGGGTAAGTTACACTAGCTGCTGTAACAAATAGCATTTAAATCTTGGTGGCATGATATAGCAGTTTTTATAGCTACCAAAATCCAGTGTGGATTCAGGAGGTGGTGTTGGTGGGGTGGGAGGGAGGGGGTGTGTTTTCTCCATAGACGTGCATAGGAATCCAGGCTCCAAGAAGCTCTACCGTCTCCAACAGACGTACGGCTTCCAGGTCCTCCTGGAAATTGATATTCACTCAGCACACGGGAGAAGAGGGAAGAATTGAACAGAACATAACCCCGGAAGTGGTGTTTTTTTCTTTCCCGTATCATTGGCCAGACCTGCTGGGGAGGCTGGGAAATGTAGTTTAGCTGTGTATCTCAGGAAAAAAAATTATTTTCATGGGCAAACAGCATTATCTCTGCCACAAACAGCTGTTAATATCTATCGTAATTTTTCTCCTTCAATATGTTGATTTCCTAATTTTCGCTGACCTTCACAGTAACCCTATGGGGTAGACAGCACAGATATTATTCCCACTTAGCCCTGAGGAAAATGACCTTCAAAGAGGAGTCAGCTGACTTGACTAGTGATGAAAAGGATACTAAAATGGTGAGGCAGGGGCCAGAATCCAAGTCTTGCCATGTTGCTACACCCCCACCCAAGCCAGAGGTAACAGGGCTTGCTTCAGTAACTCGACTCAATCATACCCTCCGTAAATTAGTATAAAATGATGCTTACAGATGTTCATACAACTTCTAAAACAATTGTTCGCCAGTGACTTAGTTTACACATAGTCATAAAAAGTTATCAAGACTATTTGGCAAATTTTAATGGAAATATGTTAAGAAAATAATATGAAATTGACTGCATACATTCTGGACAAATTTCAGCCTTTATTTTTTCAAAAATTGTCTCTTCCTCTCCTCTCTTGTGGAACTCCTATTAGATGTAATAGGTCATTTCTCTTATTAAAGTAATTGCTAAAGTAAGCATTAGTAAAAATTACACATGTATTTCTGCTCACTGATGAGTAAATCTAGAAGATAAAATCCTGCAAGTGGATATTCTGGATCACAGATAAGTGTGTATTATGTTTTAACAGATGCTGCAAAATTAACCTTCAAAAGGTGGCTGCAATGTACACATCTGACCTCAATTTATTTCCCCAATTACTTCTAGAACCTCTATTAGGGTAGGGGCTCCTTTACAACAATCAGAGACCCAAGTCGAACCAATAAATTCAAGAAGTGTGAACCTACTATCTACCAAGAATGCAGAAGACTATCCTAACAGTTCCACTGTGAAAAGTAAAATTTGATCATTCAAAGCTACAGTTTTGTTAAAGCAGCCACCTTACTAATAGCTGTGATCGTTGGTGAAAGTCTACACAGGCACAAAAATGGGCCTTGTAAGGGAGATGTTTACCAGGAATGTTGCAACAAGAAACATTAATCATATGAAAAGACCACAACACTACAGCATCACCGTGTAAGCGACACCCCAGACTGCTCTTAACAAAAACCCAAGGTGACGTGGGTCTGGGTGAGATGCTTGTCTGAGGAAATTCCGGGTTCCATCCACCTGTGACCCTCCTGTCCACTAGGGGTCCCCCTTGAGAAATGACTTTTTCTGAGGCAGTTGGCAACCTGCAAAGAAATGACATCCTTCTTACCATGACCTTTTGGTCACGTTTTCAGTTCACGTGTGTCTTATGTACTGAGTTTGCGCTTGGTGGTTGTCAAGAGTCTAGGTTTTATTTTAGCTTTTTTATTCAACACCGACCACCGATTTTGATGTGCGGCGATGTTACGCTCACTCTGCCCTCGGTCCTCTCAGCCATCTGATCAGGCTTTGCTACTTCTGCGCCTTTTCCCCTCCCTTGGTGCTGGGCACCCGTTCCTGTCTGTCTTCTCTGAGTTCCTATCTCCTTCTCCCTCTTCTTCTGGCACAGACATTCCAACAAAAGCCCACCACCTGCTGCTTTCTCTTTGCTCTCGGGAGAGACTGCAGAACGCCGTCCCTGGGAAATACGACTGCTCCAGGAGGAAGCTTTGATGCTTTAAAGAAGTTTCCGCAAATAGGGTGATGGGCATTGAAAATAAAAACCTCTGCACATCCTAATTTCCCCTCTGGTTTCCCTGTCCATTTAGAGGCCATTTTGCCATGAAGCTAAGGAAAGTTAAGCCTCAAGACCCTGACTTATGCAAGTGCCTTCTAAGGCCCTATACCTACCTTTGTTTTCTTCAATTTATATTCTTTCTTTATACTTTTATTTATTGACTTGAGAGAGAGAGAGAGTGATATCTATCTGTTGTTCAACTTATTTGTGCATTCTTTGGTTGATTCTTATATGTGCCCTGACCGGCAACCTTGGTATATCAGGACTACGTTCTAACCAACTGAGATACCCAGTTAAGGCTATG